GTCTTGAGGGCCTTGTTCATTTACATCTACTTGAGAAATTGAAGGTTGAAATAGGAAGGGTAGAGCGCTTTTATCTTCCTACTTATTTTCCTCCAAATCTTAAACAGTTGACACTTTGTTATACTTATTTGCCATGGAAGGAGATATACATTGTTGGGAAGTTGCCCAACTTGGAGACTCTCAAATTGAAGGATTTTGCCTTTTGCGGCTCAAAGTGGGAACAAACAGAGATGGGATTTAAAAAATTAAAGGTGCTTCTTATTTCACGTTTAGATTTCACACGTTGGAATGCAAGTGCTAATCATTTTCCTATTTTGGAGAAATTAGTCTTGAAATATTGCTGGGAATTAAAACAAGTTCCAATTGATTTTTCCAACATCGAAACATTGAAATCAATTGTGCTAGAGAGTTGTTCTTCTTCTCTTGTGAATTCTGCACATGAAATTAAAAAGATGTCAATTTATGAGATTCAGAGGAGGGAAGATCAACCTGCATTCCTTGTTGATGATCTTGGAACTAAGGTGTTTCTCTAATTCTTTATTGTGATATACAAATAGTAGTTTTGGCTTCCGGTTTTTCAAATCTGATTAATTTGTTGCATTTGCCAATTCTCATTTTGAATCTTGTTTCTAGATTGACTTGCCAAATAATGAGATTTTTGAAGAAGAAAGTGTTGAATGTTCGATGGAAGACAGTGACGAAAGATATTGTTAATTTTGTGTTTGATAAAAGCTTATGAAAATGAAGGTATGTATTTCATGAAACATCTACACCATACCTCTCGTTGTATATGTCAGTGTAAATGTATCTCCATGGAGCTACACCCATTAACTTGGGATTTTCCAAAGTATATTATGCTTTTATTTAAACTTTAAATGCTCAACTGTATTGCCATTAACGAAATATCATGATAGCAAATAATGTATATTTTACGTCATATATTATAGTTATATATAATCTTAAAATTTTGGTAATATTATTCACTTTGGCTACTTTAATTTTCTCCATGTAGAAATTAGATCTCTGATCTCTAGTAATGAGGTGTTGTTGTCTGCATAGAATTGAAATTGGATCCCGGCTGGCTGGATTTGGTGTGTCATCATTTGCTTATCTGATGTCGAGTTTATTTTTGTTTGGTTGATTGGTTGAAGGGCGGCTAATGTTGCCGTTGATGTTCTCCACTCCACATTGTTGTTCAATTTGTCTCTTGTTCATCTTTGATTATTCTTGTAATCATATTTCGAAGACATTTGTATTGAACCTACCAAAGTGTATGTTTTAGTTGAATGTTATTTGAACCATGCTTCATCACCATAACTGCTACGCATAAGTTTATTTGAGTATATTAGCTTACTTGTTCACTTTACTTAATGATTATTGCATAAGTTTATTTGAGTATATTAGCTTACTTGTTCACTTTACTTAATGATTATTGTTTTGAAATAAATTTGATGTTCTTATGTGATAATGCATGATTGATATAAAAGTTAAATCTTAATGGACAAAAAGTTAGATTAAATCTAATTCATTAAAGACAAATTTATCAATCAACTATGACAACTTATGTTTACCATTAGTCAGAGTAGTATGGATTACAGAATTGAGTTTCAAGAACAATTTAGAGTTGTCCAATGGCTTTTGTTGTTGTAACCTCTCTATTAGAAATAGTAGAGCACATCTTTTGAAGCCCAATTCATGTAGCCTTGTGCATCGGACGGATACTGACGGATCATATATATAATCCGATCCGTCAATCCGATTGGATTTTGGATTTTACGGATCAGATTTCAGATTTCAAAAAGTCATTAAGAATTAAATAACTGAAACAAAATATTACTTTAGTTTAAAATACTGTTATACTCTAAGTCTCTATTAACAAAATAAGTAATAACTAATAAGTAAATAAAATAAAACATGCAGCAACTTAATAATTTTTAGAGCTAAATAACAGAAACATCAAACATATAATAATTTAATTTTACAACAAAAATTGCAAAAGTGAACAAAATTTATCTAAGTTTAAGTGCTTAACTTCTCAAAATAAAAAAAAAAAATTGCAAAATTCGAAGTTAATCACTTAAACTTTAGCAATCATTCCAATCAACATCTTTATAGAAAATCTGCTGACAGCAATCAACATTTCTACACTTCTTCCTGTTAATATCAAAACTTAAAACAATATTAGGAAACATATTAAGTAATAAACAGCTAACTAAGTAACAATATTATGTTGTAGGGGCATTAGGCTAATGCTCAGATTGCAATTTTTCATTTCAAGTAATGATAGGGGCAAATTGCTCAAATGTGTTATAATAGCACATGAGCAACATAGCAACACCATACCATTTGTTTAGACAAAGGTGGAAGCATCATCATAGCCAGCCAAATAAATAATAATGCATTTGTTAGGAATATATTGTAAATTTTGATGAGCCGAATGTATTTTTGAAAAATCAAGTAGTCCCCATTTTTATTCTATTTGAGTCAGTCTTGGTCTACGGAGTATGGTGCACCCATATCATGCAACCCATGTACAAGTCTGGAAAATCATAATTTGATTTTAGATGTTAAGCAGGATTATAGCTTAACATAATTATGCTGCAGTGAAGTCACCAAGAACCATGCTAGAGGAGTTGGAAGAAATGCGTGTGAGCTACATTAAAAGATCCAAAGTTTGAATCTCAAGTGAAGCATTTTTAACTTGCTTAGGAGACTAGCTTGGACAGTATAACCGTATGGGACACTAGCTCAAGGTCAATTGCTTGGGAGACTAGCTTGGACCGTATAACCGTATGGGAGACTAGCTGGTCAGTCTTGGTCTACGGAGTATGGTGCACCCATATCATGCAACCCATGTACAAGTCTGGAAAATCATAATTTGATTTTAGATGTTAAGCAGGATTATAGCTTAACATAATTATGCTGCAGTGAAGTCACCAAGAACCATGCTATAGGAGTTGGAAGAAATGCGTGTGAGCTACATTAAAAGATCCAAAGTTTGAATCTCAAGTGAAGCATTTTTAACTTGCTTAGGAGACTAGCTTGGACAGTATAACCGTATGGGACACTAGCTCAAGGTCAATTGCTTGGGAGACTAGCTTGGACCGTATAACCGTATGGGAGACTAGCTTGGACCGTATAACCGTATGGGAGACTAGCTCAAGGTCAAGTATATTGGACAGTATGGGAGACTAGCTCAAGGTCAAGTATATTGGACAGTATGGGAGACTAGCTCAAAGTATACCAAACCGTATGAGAGACTAGCTTGAGTCTAGCTCAAAGTATACCAAACCGTATGAGAGACTAGCTTGAGTCTAGCTCAAAGTATACCAAACCGTATGAGAGACTAGCTTGAGTGTATTGGAGACTAAGGAAAATGCACAAGTCTCACAAAAGCCATGCACCATATGGAGAAACACACCAAGTATGGTGGAGGCTTGAGTGTAGCTCAAAGTATACCAAACCGTATGAGAGACTAGCTTGAGTGTATTGGAGACTAAGGAAAATGCACAAGTCTCACAAAAGCCATGCACCATATGGAGAAACACACCAAGTATGGTGGACCAAGCTGAAATTCGAAATAGAGCATCTCACCATGAACAACTATGAAGTTTTTATAGATGTTCCAGTATATTATTTTACAGGGATCATGAAGGAGAAAATATCTGATATATTTTCATCTGAACATCAAGTTTTTACGGTGGAACCGGAGACGCTCGGAGAAGGCTGATTTGCGGAGAAATTATTTTATACTCAAGCAACAATCAGCAGAAAAATTATTTGATCAACTTGACATGTCAGAGCATTTATGAAGGAGAAGAAAATCAAGCATGCCGCACCGAACTTATTCAAATTTTGGAGGCTACAAAATTCAAGACACGGCAACGGGCAAAATATTCAAATCATCTGACAAAAGGAGAAATGACATCTACCTAAAATTTCAGATCAAGTTGACAATATTATCTGATCAACTACAATTCAAAATGGACGATCGAGATCGAAAGTTGATCAACGGGCAAATAGCTTTCTTTGGCTATAAATTGTCCAAGCAGACTTGAAGACAAATATGACTTGAATTATGGCTGAAAAACTACTAGCAAGAGAAAAGCAAGCAATACTAAAATCAGCCAAGAAGCAATATATTGAGCTATACACGATTAAATTCAAGTCTGAGTGAGAGAAATCTTTGTATTTCATTGTAAATCTTCTACTGAGTGTAGAAAAGGGGTAGAGTAACTGGAGAGAGTGAAAAACCCAGTTGGAGTGTAGCTTTGTGCGTAGCACTCGGTGAAAAGGGTAGAGTAACAAGGGGAGCTTGTGAAAACCCTGTGAGAACATAGCTTTGTGCGTAGTTCTCGTGGTGTAGGAGTACAGCTTGGTGCGAAGTACTCGGGAAGACAGAGTAACAAGAGGAGCTTGCGAAAAACCTTGGAGGAGTGTAGCTTTGTGCGAAACACTCGGAGAAGTGTCGTTGGGCACTTATTCACTATTGTATTTGGGTGATCGAAGAATAGTGAATTTCCTCCTTGAAGTGAAAGGAGAAGAGTGGACTAGGAGGATTACACCACCTCTGAACCACTATAAATCTCTCTCTCTCTATTTACTTACTGCTCATATATTTTGTGCATGCTTATTCTAACTGCGAACTAACCCGATTACGATTTATCGCGTATCTTTATCTGTCTGGGTTTGATAGTTCCCACGTTTGCATGCGAGCCAAACTTTGCGTACATTATCTTTGAACCAAATTAAGTGCAAGACAGCCTGATGGCATTTGTTGGCATTTGCTATATTTTAATGGTGACTATATATGCCTGGAAAGATTAAATATGACTTGGATTTTGCAGTCCTCTTCCAATTGCTATTTTAAAAATGAAATTGTATATTTTTCAAAAAAAAAATAAAAATGAAATAATATATGATGGCATATTCCATTCCATTATGCAGATTCCATATATTGCAGATGATGAATGATTAGTCTTTGTTGATCGAGTTGTTGAATGGCGGCTTTTGTTGTTGTAAGCTCCCTTTTGGAGTTAGTGGAGCAGCAGCTTTTGCAACCCAAACCATGTTTGGTTCTTGATGATACAGAAACGATTGTGTCATTGAGGGAAAAGCTCCACTTTCTGCAAGCTTTTTTGGAGGAATCTAACCTGAAAACCGAAGATCCCGAAGCTAAAGAAAAGTTGGAAACTGAGATCCAAGATGTAGCTACTAAAGCAGAAGGTCAAATAGGATCTAAACTAAGGCTAGTTTATTTGGCAGCTAATGCTAATGGAGGAGATCAGTGTTTAGTTGAGGAGGCTTGTCAACGGCTTTATCAGACCATGCAACAAGTAGTTAAAGATATTAAGTCAGTTGAAATAAGGATCCTGATGCTAAAACCAAACTTATTCAGTTCATCAACAAATGATTTCAATGAAGAGAACGTCATGGTTGGTGTTAGCTCCCCAAGCGATTTAATCCCTGAGGATACACCTATAGTTGGATTTGAGGGTGAAGCAAAGACAATAGTGGGCATGCTCACAAATGAGTGGTCAATAGAACGAGAAGTTATCGCAATCTGTGGGGTGGGAGGCCTTGGGAAGATTACATTAGCCAAATCAGTTTATGAAGATCCTAAAATTAAGTATCACTTTGACATCCAAGTTCCAAACTATTTTCAAGTCTCTTCTTTCGGTTGGTGGTTGCTTCATGTAAGTCTATTCATCTTTTATACCTTTCACCCATAAAATATTTTACTATGGGTATATCATATACCGACATTGAATTAATTTCTCTGGTAAAATCAGATCTTCAACTTCGCAATGATATATTTTAAGAGTCTACATTAAAAATAGAGTTAATGCCATCTGAGGTCCTCCGAGTATGGTGGTGTCACCACGTTTAGTCCTAAACTTTCAAATTGACCATCTGTGGTCCTCTAACTTTTGAATTTGACCCACTATGATCCTTCCGTTACTTTAAACTGTTTAGGCGGTGAAAAATAAGGGTAAAAATGTTTTTTAACATTGTTTATCCGTTTAGGCCCTATGTATGATTGATCTGCCAATCTAAACTTGATCTCTAGCTCATCTTTGGCTTCCTACATTTGTATAAGAACTACTATGAGCATGAGGATCTTCACTTCAGTTTTCGACCAACTTATTAGTGCCCAATTTTATATATTAATCTCTCTCTCACACACACATACACACAAAAGAGAATAAATCCAACTCTACAAGATAAACTTGAAATCATTTAGAAAAAGAAATCTTAAATTGAAACGTTAATTAAACATCAAACCAGCAAATATTAATAGCACATATGGGTGTATTCAAGAATTCTTGAAAAAAGGCATACAAATCAAAAACAGGAAAATAAGATCAGTAAAAGAATTAGGAAAAAATGATTACTTCAAAGAAAGAAAAATCCCTCAGGCTCGGCGGACATAGGATCGATTGATGCGATGCATATTCTGATTCGATTTACGTCGGCGCTAGATTGCAAGAAGATTTTGACGAAGAATCAAGTGGTCATTGAGGGAAAGCTGGTCTGATTCGTCCGGTGGGTGCCAGACTGGAATACGCTAAGAGACTTCCCAGTAGCTATGATATGGATATATGCTTTTACCTAAGCTACCTTTTCATTTGTTTGATGCTCAGATTATTTATCAGATTTGTGCGCCGGTGGGAAAATTGTTGACGTTGGATTCTTCTACGGTGAGGCGAAGAAGACCAAGTGTAGCCAAGGCTAAGGTAGAAATTAATTTTTGAAACCATTAATTAATAAGGTTTGGATTGAAATTGTAGTGGATGAAAGAGGAACTTAGGGATTCTGGCAAAGATTAGAGCATGAGTTTGTTCCCTTTTACTTCTCTATATGCAATCGCCACAAATCGAAAGTCTGTAGAAGGGGGAAGAATTTGAGGAAGGTAGCAGGGGTGGCGCCGGAGGCTGGTGATGTGACGGGGGAGGCTGGTAGTGCAACGGGGGAGGCTAGTGGTGAGTCAGGGGCTACGAATAATTGGATAAACAATGTCAAAAGACTATTATATCCTTAGATTTCACGACCTGAGACGGAAAATTTTAACGGAAGGACCACCGCAGGTCAATTTTGAAACTCGGAGGATCACGAATGGTCGATTTGAAAGTATAGGACTATAGATAGCGGAACCACTATACTCGAGGGAACTTGGCTAGTATTTACTCTTAAAAATATAAGAGAGAACATACATGCTTATTAGATGTGTGAAAACACTAATATTGTGATCGAGTTGATATAATGATTGTAGGTATTTGGAGTGGTGGTGAAGCAAAGAAGAATGATGATTTGCCATACAAATAAGGATTATGTAGCTCCCGATCCTTTGAGTGCTTGCTATTGTGACCATCTTGATATTTTCTTTTTCTTTTTTAATTTAGTACACGACTGATGTCTGATGCCATGCTACAATTTGTTAAATACAAAAAATGCACTCATCTCAAATCTATTTCGTTTCCCCCACATTGTACTATGTCATATATCATGGTTGGATGATTAGAGTAAAATTATTGGTACAAGATTTTTATATATATATTTTTTTCTTTTTATGGTTTCCTAGAAATAAATAAATAAATAATAAAATAAAAGCAGGGTGATTGACAATTGGCAGCCACCCAATGCTTCCGGAGTTGTTCTTTTTAACTTTTAAGAAAAGAGTTGTACTATATAGACTTCCTGTTTTTAGTACAATATTATTATTAATTAATGTATAATATTATTAGTACAAAATCAATTATACTTGCCTTAATAATTAATATTATTGCCTAATAATTATGTATTGTTACCTTTTTCGGTGTAATTATTATGGTAATTTACATACATATATATTTTTATACTTAATATATAATATGATTGGCACAAAATAAATTATACTTACCTTAATATATAGATTATTTTAATATAATTTTCTAATTTTTATTAAAGGTAATTATTCTCATAATTTTTCTTTCATTATTTTGTGTAATTATTATGATAACTTTATGAAAATGTATTTAAATATTAAAAGAGAACAAATGTTATAATTAATATAATTAATGAAATTATTATAGTAAATTTCACAATATTTGGTAATTATAATTAATAAAATTTAGAAATATAAAATTTATTCTGTAGAAATATTTGTAACAATTTCATTAAATTATAATTAATAAAATATGAAATATAATTAAAAAATAAAATTATAAAATTAACAAAACATGAATATTTATAATTTTTTTAAATATACATACATACACTTTTTAAATTTCTAAATATAATTTTTTAAAGTATAAATCTATTAATACAAATTATAATTAATGAAATTATATTATAAAATTTTCCTATATACATATTAATAAATATTATGTGTATATACAATGTATTATACAATCATATAAGGATATGCGTCCGATTAGAGTTTATATTTATTCATACAAAATTTAAAATTTACATTTTTATTGATTTCTAAGTACAATTCTCTTTGTTATTATTATTATTATTCATATTTTTAGAATTATAATATATATGAAATACAATTTGGAATAAATCAATTTAAGTTTATAAATTTTTTTTCTATAAATTTATCTAAATATGTACATGATTAGATATTATATTAACCATACAATATTTAAATTTTAACATCTTTTTATTTTTTTCTATTTTAATTTTAAATTCATACTAACAAAAAAAAAATTTCGGGTAAAACATTATATTTAAAAAAATACAATTTGATAAATATCATAAATTAATTAGTACAATATCATTTATGTTTATAATAATTAAAGAAAAAATAATAATTCAAATATGTGAACCAATGATTTCAAAATGAAATTAATATATAGTTACAAATAAATATAGCATGATTACATTTACTTTAATTAGTTTTAATTCCCTTAATGATATGACTTTTCTTTATCAATTTTTTTTTTTGGTAGACTAAGGGAGTGTTTGAGTTGGTGGAAATTATTTTTTTTTAAAAAATACTTACTAATAAAAAATAATTTTAAAATATTTTTTAACCCCTCATAACATGTGTAAAATCTTATATTTTTAAAAAATACAATTTGATAAATATCATAAATTAATTAGTACAATATCGTTTCTATTTATAAATTATATAATAATTAAAAACAAACTTAAATACCAAGACTATGTGGTCTAATGGTATTTGGGTTAGACTTTCATTTGGAAGCTTGTGAGTTTGAGTTTCAATGGAGGCAAATAAATATAGCATGAAAATGACTTTTCTTTCTCAGTTTTTTATGGGAGGCTAAAGGAGTGTTTGGATTGCTGGAAAATATTTTAAAATAAAAATACATAATAATAAAAAATAATTTAAAATATTTTTTAACCCCTCATAACATGTGTGAATGTTATATATATATATATATATATATATATATATATATATATATATATATATATATATATATATATTAAATACAATTTGATAAATATCATAATTTTTGTGGTTGGGGAGCAGAAACGGAGGCGGGTGGAGGAGGTGGTGTCGGAGACAGTTTCGGGTATGGACTGTGATGCTACGGTTTCAAAAAATGGCTTGGAGGCGGGTCTTGCGGCGCAGACCCGCCCAGAATTATGAGTCTTTTATTATGGAATTGTCGGGGGCTTGGCAACCCAACGACGATTCGTGTACTAGCGGACTTGGTCCGTTCTAAGAGGCCGTGTGTTCTTTTTCTTGTTGAGACGTTTGTTGATAGGCACCGGATGGAGGAGGTGCGTGTACAGTTGCGGTATGATAGTGTGTTTGCTGTGGATTCGGATGGGCATAGTGGAGGATTGGCGGTCTTGTGGATGAATACGGTGGAGTTGAGGGTAACGGGCTATTCTACTAATCATGTGGACACGGAGGTTGAGTTGGATGTTGGGAGTCCGAAATGGCGTTTAACGGGGTATTATGGATATCCAGAACGAACCCGACGTAGGGAGGCCTGGCAGATGTTACGCACACTATCGGGGCGGAGTCAGCTGCCTTGGTTTGTCGTAGGTGACTTTAATGATCTCCTGGACCAGTCAGAGAAACAGGGGCGTGTGCCTCACCCGGAGTGGCAGATTAATGGGTTTAGAGCAGCGGTGGATGATTGTGGCCTGCATGATGTGCCTTTTAGTGGAAATCAGTTCACGTGGGTGAAATCCAGGGGAACTGATCATATGATTGAGGAGAAGTTGGATCGTGTCCTTGCATCTAATGATTGGCTTATTCTGTTTGAGGGTGTACGGGCGCAATCTTTAGTTGTCCCTTACAGTGATCACTCGCCGTTGTTAGTGACTCCAGTTGTGTTACCCGGGGTTCGGAGACGATCACGGTTTTGCTTTGATAATATGTGGCTACGGGAGGATGTGTGCCGAGAGATTGTGGTGCAGAGTTGGGCCCGGTCTGCGGGTTTGGATACTATCTCTAGAATCGGTATGTGTGTCATGGATATTGGTCGTTGGGGTCGTCAGTATAATAAGGAGTTCCAGCGGAGGATAGACCGATGTAAGTGCTAGATGGAAAGGTTGTGTATGCGGCGTGATGGGTTTGGGATGAGAAGTTATGCAGCTGCGCAGAAGGAGCAGTTGTTTTTGCTAGAACAACAGAGTTTGTACTGGAAGCAGTGGGCTAAAGAGCACTGGTATAAGGTGGGCGATGTGAATAGTAGATTCTTTCATAATTCGGTAAAAGCCCGCCGGCGGAGGAATAAGGTGGTGAGGTTGCAAGATGGGGAGGGAAATTGGGTTGAAGGGGAGGAACAGTTAGGAGGGTTGATGGTGGCTTATTTTGAGGAGTTGTTCTCGCCGGACTACGGGGATGTACAGGAGGTGATTGATGTTATTACAAAAAGGGTTTCTGATGTGGATAATGCGGGGCTGTTAAGGCCGCTGAGTATGGACGAGGTCCGTGAAGCAGCTTTTCAGATGCATCCTGATAAATCGCCTGGTCCTGATGAGTTTGGTCCGGGGTTTTTTCAGCACTACTGGGATATTGTCGGAGGAGAAGTGTGGTTATTTTGTAAGCAGTTTCTTGAGACTGCAAAACTACCTCAGAGGGCAACTGAGACTTTTATTGTGTTGGTGCCTAAGAAGCCGAGTCCGGTGTCTATGAACGATCTTCGCCCTATAGCTCTGTGCAACGTGGTCTATAAAATCGCGGCAAAGGTATGTGCTAACAGGTTGAAACATATGTTGCATAAATTGATTTTCAGTGCGCAGAGTGCTTTTATTCCGGGGAGGCTAATCTCGGATAACATAATGTTGGCTTATGAGGTGCACCACTACCTGAAGAGGAAAAGGCAGGGGCAGAATGGTGTCGTGGCACTGAAATTGGATATGTCCAAAGCTTATGATAGGGTTGAGTGGTTGTATCTGGAGGCTGTAATGCTGAAAATGGGATTTGCTAAGCAGTGGGTCGATTTAATGATGGAGACGGTTACATCTGTGCGTTATAGTGTGCTGCATGAGCACCGGCAGTTGGGGCCTATATTACCAGGAAGGGGACTTCGTCAGGGGGACCCGCTTTCACCCTACTTGTTTCTGTTTGTAATCGAGGGGCTCAGTGCATTGTTGGAGAAGAGAATGGCTGGGGGTGTGTTGCATGGTGTCACAGTTGCTAGAGGAGCCCCGGCGATCTCTCATCTTCTATTTGCTGATGACTGCTTCTTGTTTCATCGGGCGAATTTGGATGAGAGCGTGCAGATGAGGTATGTTATGGATACTTATTCTAAGGCTTCAGGCCAATGGGTTAATTATGACAAGTCCACTGCCTGCTTTAGTGCAAATGTACAGCAGAATGTGCGGAATGAGGTGGTGGAGGTACTGGGGGTGGAGGAAGGGGTTACGAGTGGAAGGTATTTAGGGCTACCATCCCTAGTTGGCAGGAGAAAGAAGGAGATTCTGGGTTTCATCAAAGACCGAATACTTGCTAAGATTAGATCGTGGAGTGCAAAGTTCCTATCGAGAGCAGGTAGGGAAATCCTGTTGAAGAATGTGATTCAGGCAATGCCCACCTTTGCAATGATGATTTTCTTGTTACCCGTGGGGTTGTGTCGAGAAATTGAGACGTTGATGAATCAGTATTGGTGGACTGGCAGTGTAGGAGGGGGTCGGGGCATCCGGTGGCGCTCTTGGGAGGGGTTGTGTAAGCCGAAAGCTTGTGGTGGTTTGGGGTACCGGAGATTGCATGAGATGAATAAAACGTTGCTTGGGAAGCAAGCTTGGCGTTTGGTAACCAGGCCACATTCTTTGGTGACTCGGGTTTACAAAGCGCGCTATTACCCGAGGTGTGGTTTCTTTGATGCAACGGAGGGTAGTAATCCCTCTTACATTTGGAAGGGTATTATGGCGGTACAAGGGGTGTTGAAGGAGGGGTGTAGGAGGGTCGTTGGGAATGGGGCGGACACGATAATTGGATTGGATCCCTGGTTGCCAGATGACAATAACCCATATGTGGAAACAGAGTTGCACTAGTCTGTCTTCGGAGCTCGGGTAACGTCTTTGTTAAATGACCAAGGTACGGGATGGGATTATGATTGTGTCAATGATATTTTTAATTCCCGTGATGCAAGATTGATTATGAATATTCCGGTTAGTTGGCGCAGGCCTGTTGATCGATGGACTTGGCATTGGGATCCGAAGGGGATGTATTCTGTTAAGTCATGCTACAAACGGATTACCATGGTTGCTTCGGATGATCGGCCATGGTCACGTATATGGAGTTTACATGTTCCCCCTAAGGTAAAGTGTTTCTGTTGGCAACTAGCTTCTGAGTTTCTTCCCACACGTGATGCATTGGCTGTGAAAAGGGTAGCTTGTTCACTTGATTGTCATATGCGTAGGCTTGCGGCCGAATCTGCGGTCCATCTTTTTGTTAACTGTGCGGAGGCCAGGCGGGTTTGGAACCTAGTGGGTGTGCCACAGCTGAATGCTTATGCAGGTGATAATATATCTGATTGGTTTTTTTGGTGTGTTAGTAAGTTGTGTGCTGACTCTTTGCCAAGGTTTGTAATGATATGTTGGGGATTGTGGACAAGCAGGAATGATAGTGTCTGGAAGGGCAGTGAGCATAATTCAGCCTTGGTGGTGCAGCGTGCCCTAGACTTTCTGGAAGGGTGGCGTGGGGCGAATCAGGAACACCGGGTGAATGGGGCGGTGGACGTTGTGTACTGGAAGAAGCCGCGGGTGGGCAGGTTTAAATTAAATACAGATGTTTCTGTGCGGCAGGAAGAAGGACGGATGGGGTTAGGTTGGGTGCTGCGGGATGATAATGGGGGGTTCTTGGCGGCTAAGAATGTGCTTGTAACAGGAACTTATTTGGTGAAGGAAGCCGAGGCCTTGTGCGTAAGAGAAGCTCTCAGCTGGCTGAAGGCTACGGGACTAGGTCGTGTGGATGTGGAGATGGACTCACAGTTGGTGTGTAATGCTATTCGTTCTGTGTCTTATGGTTCAGCTTTTGGCTATTTAGTGGATGATGTATAGGATTTGGCATCTGAAATTGAGGATGTTGAATTCTACTTTGTTAAGCGATCTGCGAATCGTGCCGCTCACTGTGTTTCTAGGGAGGCCTTTTCTGTGTCAGGTTGCGGGGAGTGGCTGGACTCCCCTCCATCTTTTCTTGTAAACATTCTTCATTCTGATATAATGAATTAAGTTTACTTTCTCAAAAAAAAAAAAAATAGTTAAAGAAAAAAATAAATAATTCAAAGATGTGAACCAATGATTTTCAAAATGAAATTAATATACAGTTACAAATAAATATAACATGGTTACATTTACTTTAATTAGTTTTAATTTTCTTAATGAAATAACATTTGTTTTTCAATTTTTTATTAGAGACTAAGGGAGTGTTTGGGTTGCTGGAAAATATTGTAAAAATAAAAATATTTACTAATAAAAAATAATTTTAAAATATTTTTTAATCTATAAACATGAGAAAATTTTATATTTAAAAAAAAATAGAATTTAATAAATATCATAAATTAATTATTGCAATATCATTTATGTTTACAACGAGAATAATTAAAGAAAAAATAAATAAATCAAATATGTGAACCAATGATCATAAATAAATTAATTATTACAATATCATTTATGCTCCATGATTGGCCTGGAGATTTAAAGTTGCTCCATTCCCAAAGGGACCTTTCGTTAATAAGGATGGATGTGTCTCTTCCACTCAACGGAAAATTATGCTATGCATCCGTGTGCACCATGGTGCACACCGATGTAAAAACAACATCGTTTTGACTAAAAACGCGTGTCCAACTTAAAAAAAAAAATCAGTTTCGATTTACGTCAACAACATTATGTTGTGCACATTTTCTGAATGTATAGTTATGAAATTATGGATGTATAGTTATGCAATTCTGGATTTATAGTTCTAAAATTATGGATGTGTAGTTATGCAATTCTGAATGTATAGTTATGCAATTCTGGATTTATAGTTATGAAGTTATGGATGTGTAGCTATGCAATTCTGGATGTATAGTTATGAAATTATGGATGTGTAGTTATGCAATTCTAAATTTTTTTTAAGTCGACGTCGTTTTTGCATCCGTGTGCACCATGCATGGTACACACGGATGCACAACATAACGATTCTCACTC